GGTCAATTCATTGCAGATGACCAGAGAAACCATCACTGTTGCTGCGACGCGCAACGTTTGCTATTCCGACGACACTCCGCTTCATGTAATTAGCAACATACTTTGCTAATAGAAAACGAAGTTCGTTATAGAGAGTTCTGCAATGAAAACTGGGTAAAGTTCGACCCGGAAAGAGAAGAGGAAACATACACAGGTAACACACAGCCAGATGTTTGCCCCCCCCCTCCCCCTATAAGTTGAGTACTCCCAGAGGATGGATGTTTTTGCAGGCATGCGACATTCTGCAACGGGAACATATAGAGTCTCTGAAGATATACCATCCACCAAAAAACATCCAAGTTAACATTTAACAGTTAACGGTGTGGGGCATATACGCTCATGCATGCAATACAGACAACCTTTTCACGATCTCGAATGGACATGAGCGAATTCTCAGTTCGAAACTGCATAGAAGAAATTGTCGTGAATGTATTCACAATCAGTGGTCACAAAAACTTATCACATCCGCTAGTTAAAAATGAAACCAACTGCACGCAGGTAACTGTTGAGATACATAATGCAGAACGACTGTAGTGAACACTTCTTACAAATACTAAGGTAGACTGTTTCACTGCAGGAAGAATACGCGACTGGAAAAATGTGCAACTCGAAAGAAATAGCACCTCGCAGTATCATTTAGCATTTTGACTAGTTTCTTGAGACGTTTTACAGAAAGGTCAGCATTAGGAGATTAAAAATAAGCCTGTACCGAAGAATTCAAATTTCGGCAAGAAAAGAGTCTGCTTCACATAGAAATAGAAAATCAACGCTTTGCAACACAACGTTCAGCCTCATCGACTCAAGAAGCGATTATTCAACTATTCATCCGTCATAAACGTACCTTGTGCCGTAGAGATTTCCGCCAAACTCTGCATATTCCAGAAACTCTCCTCGTCTTATAGCAGCCTCCATGTCTTCTCGTGAGACAAAATAATAGTCTAATTATAAAAAATGTGTAACAAAGCAGAAGCGTCCAAGAAGTTAATGTATAACGGGGCAATACTCGAAACAAGAAGTTCAGCACATAATAACGTTTTCAATAATTTTCACAGAATAAAGAAAACATTCGTGAACAAAAAGTTTTGTTTCAGTTGAAACTAAAAGTAAATCTTCCTATATCATATTTCATTCGTCTGTACCAGTTGTCGGCAATCGTTCGATCGTCTTAGGTCAATTTGAAGGTGTCAGTTTCTCACAAGTGATTGTTGAATTCCAACATGGCGTTACTCATATTCTCCCACTCACACTCGCCCAAAATTGTTGCATATGGTTTTGACAAACTAGCAATGGAAACAGTGGCTAAAGGAGAGGACAAAACGATAGTGATAATCGTCACAGCTGCAGAGAGTCGAAAATGAATCTAAAATGATCGAATCTAAGGTTAAATGTAAAACTGTTGCTTTGTTTTTTACAAGTTTATACTGTATAAAACAAAGTTAGATAAAAAAGCCCCTGTCAGTTGAAATGGCCGTTTCGAAGAAAGTGGCGAATAACCACAAAAACCAACTGTAATCAATCACTGTCAAACACCATCAATTGAAAACATTACGACGTCATCAGCCATCATTGTTTGAAT